GCTGAAGCAGCTCAGATGAGCAGTGATGTTTTTGCTGATGTATGTCGTTAAGATTTAATTAAACCATCGGAAGTCATAGTTATTATTAGGGATGCACCGATACTGGTATCTGTATCGGCACCGATACGGATTCCAGTATCGGTATCGGTAAAAGTTAACCGATACCAATGCAGTTGCGTGAAAATGGCTTCACTGTAATTTGTCATTTTTGCTCACATAATATTTTAGTTTTGTGATTTCTCATATTTTACTTTTTATCTGCCTCACAGTAGGGCTGCAACGATTCATCGACGTTGTCGATATTTGGCGACAATAGAAATGGTCGACAACGAATTTCATTGTCGACGTTGTCGCCAGACGTGTTTTTTCCGACCGAGCGAGGCGTCTCTCACTACAATCTCTGCCGAGAGTCGCACGTGCGCAACCGCCTCTCTGCTGAGCGCCAACTAACAGAAATGGCGACGTCCGACACCGCAGCTACACATACTAAAACATCTAAAGTTTGGGAGCATTCTTCTGACACCAGCCCCTAGTGGATGAGGGTGGAACTGCAGTTTTTGTTACTTCCGTGTCGGCTTCATTTTCACACCAGTATCATGGGGGCTTGGTATCGCATAACTCCTACAGATAAATTAGGACTTTCTAGGTATAATAGTTTTGTTGAATGTTGACCAAAATTCTTGTTATTCCAAAGGTTTTCAATATAAAATGAAACGTGGAAGGCAGTACTCGTTCGTTTGACGAGTGATTGGTTTTCAATAAAGAGTTTTGTTACTATCCAGTAATTCTTCTCTCCCTCAGTGGGAGTGGTGCTAAAGGAAGAAAACTATAGCAGACCAGGAGAGAGTTGCAGGTGAAAGTTCAGACCCCCGTGGCTAATTCCAGCAGGTATTCTACCTGTTGAGACCAACCTGTCCCCTGAGAGAAACACTAGTGGGGGAGTATCGCTGGTAAATGTGTCTAAGAGGGAGGGTGGAAGACCGAAATCTGTGGAATGCCTTTGCTCCCTGACTCCCTGATAGGGCGAGCATGGGAGGAATGCGACCCTGAGAAGGCCGGATAAACATAAAGGAAGGAGGGCGTTGGGACTCGGGATGGGGAGGAGGGAGCTCCCAGCCAGCTGAGAGGCACAAGACGGCCTGAGCCCTCCCTCCCTCCACGGACGAGGACCAGGGATGAGTTTGGAGAGCAGTGAGCTGTGATCGCTGTCAGCTGTTGCAGCCTGACGGCTTGTTGATGAAGTCTGGAGTCATGAGGAGAAAGGAGGGTTTCCTGTCCACTCACAGAGTCGACGTTCTGCAACAGATGCGCCGTCTCAAGGAGCCGCCGTGTTTGGATTCTCGACAGATTCGTCTCTGACATGGGGCGTCCCTGATCCAGCCCGCCAGCCAGGGATTATCTACATAGTCCCTGGTTACTGGTGTGTTTGCACTCGGTGAAATGTGGATTTTGGTCTCGGACCTCATCCTGCCATACCATTTATTTATCCAGCACATTTAAAACGCAGCATGAGAGCCGAACAGAGCGCCTTGCAGACATGTACGATAACAATAAAGTGATCAGTAAAGCACAATGAAACATCTTAGGTGTCTTCTTGCTGTGTCGTATCTCTGATTCCATGCTGTAGATCTCTTTTAAAACACAGAGCGGCCGCAAACGAAACGTAGCGGGAAAACAGGTAAACAAAGCTGCTCTGTGTTTTAAAAAAGAACTACAAGATGGTACAACAATAAAAGCCAGAAACACACGATCAAAGAACAAGTCAATAAATAAGGTCAATCAACTATAAGAATAACAAGAGTAGGAATGTAAGAAAATATCGGTATGGCAATACATCGTGATATTTTTTCCAGCAGTATATCGATATTCAAAAGTGTATCGGAAATATCGATATGGCAATATATCGTGATCTTTTTTCCTGCGATTATTACATCGATTTTCAAAAGCTGTGTATCTAATTCCTGAAATAATTTACATGCAAACATTTGTGTATTTTCTTTTCGTTTTGTGCAATTCAATCGCCACCCGCTAGTTGGCAGCAGTGAGCAACGGGTTTTGTTTCCACCATTGAAATGTAAATCCCTCCATCATGGTTCAGATACCTCATGTTAAACATGTTACGTATCAGTTTGGACTGTTTATTGAACATTCTTACAATAAATTCTGTAAAAGAAATTGCTTGTAATGTCTGACTGGATGTATTGCAATATATCGTGGTATATCGTATCGTCTCCCCTGTATCGTGATCGTATCGTCTCCCCTGTATCGTGATCGTATCGTCTTCCCTGTATCGTGATCGTATCGTCTCCCCTGTATCGTGATCGTATCGTCTCCCCTGTATCGTGATCGTATCGTCTCCCCTGTATCGTGATCGTATCGTCTCCCATGTATCGTGATCGTATCGTCTCCCATGTATCGTGATCGTATCGTCTCCCCTGTATCGTGATCGTATCGTCTCCCCTGTATCGTGATCGTATCGTCTCCCCTGTATCGTGATCGTATCGTCTCCCCTGTATCGTGATCGTATCGTCTCCCCTGTATCGTGATCGTATCGTCTCCCATGTATCGTGATCGTATCGTCTCCCCTGTATCGTGATCGTATCGTCTCCCCTGTATCGTGATCGTATCGTATCGCCAGAATTTCATAAATACACATCCCTGAACAAGAGCAATAAAAACTAGCACACCAACAACCATCAGCGCCCTGACAGTAAAACTAACCGCATAAGACCGTAAAACCAAGCATAGAAGAGGTCACAGTCCTAAAATCCTGTTCAGCTTTGAAAGCTTGGGCCATGAAGATGCCTCGTGCTTCACCCTTCTGTTGATGAAATATAAAAGTATGAGAAATGTGAAGCTGTGAGGGTCTGTTTTTCTGCCCTGTTGTGTTCAAACGGCACTGAAGTCAGGCTGCAGCTCTGCTGCTGCAACTGTAAAACTCCTCAGGCTCGTGCGTTAGCTCGGGGCTGGCCGGGACCTTCTGGGCGTTGATCCCGGAGCGATACACAAACGGATGCATCACCGCTGGATGTGGGGAGAAGGATCACCGATGTCATGGACCTCCATGTTTGGCTGTCTTGGGCGGATACTGGTTAAACTGGTTCGGGCACTCTCGCAGATTAAACTGCAGCTCTTTGTCAGCAAGTTGTTTACGAGCTGTGAGAATAACGAGGGAAGAGTTTTCTATTAAATCCATGAGCAGAAAAATGTCGAGAATCTCAGGATCTTGGCAGTTTTTTAAACGTTGGTTACAAGTTCCACATTTTGGGATGTTTGTGTGCTCCTCGCACATCAGTGAGACGCAATGTTTTAATTGTTTTCCAGTTGTCGACGTGGTTTCACAACCAGCGTCATTAAATTAATTCCACATTTAATTTACTCTTCATGTTTTAGCACTCGTCGTTTTTTCTCAGGCAATTAAAATGATGGACGACCTTTTAGCTGCTGCTTAAAGGGGCATTATGGAAGTTAGACAGCCAAAACATGTATAGAAATAATATCTTCTTCATACATTCTCCTGCAATGCCCTGGTCCTGTAGAATGAGCCCTGGCATTTTTACTGTGATTGCCTGTTTTTCTGTAAAACCACAGAAAAAGAGAGATGCTCGGGTCGAGCAGGCTGCTTCATGCGCGTTCACGCTCAGGCATCGCCCGTAGCATTTGCTATCCGTAGCTTTAGCAGCAGACAGAGAGGCAGTGCCACTTTGTCGCTGTTCCTAACGCCTAGTGACAAAGCTAGCTACATTTCTGAGGACCCTTAGCTACTTTCTGTAGAACTTTCTTCTAGATATTTCCTGCTAATTAGCAACAAAATAGCCATTTTCACTCCGAACCGTTCTTTGGGTTGACGTTGTTTCAGCTGTCATCAAGGATATAAAAGTTACAGATACTGTAAATGTTACTAGAGTGTAGCTCACCTTGTAAGATGTCTGACTCCCGTGCAGAAGACCTGGGTTTGATTCTGGATGTGAACATAGTTTATTTAGAGTTTATTTTTTACATTAATGGTATATTTTTTTACAGTAAGATTCCCACATTTTTATTTGAGACTCGCCGAACGGCATTGAATTCACAGATAAAAAGATGTGGGTTCAACTTTCATTTTGGAGCAGTTTTTCAAGCAAGGGAAGGGAATGATCTGAGCATGCAGGAGGACTGACCCATCATACACCTTTGTCGGCTGTGCTGAAGAGAAAGCTACAGAACCACATTATTTAACTAATTAGCTGCGTGTTCTCCTGTCCTCCGGGACACGGACACACACACACACACACACACACACACACACACACACACACACACACACACACACACACACACACACACACACACACACACACACACACACACACACACACACACACACACACACACGGGACTGTCTCAGCTGTTATTTTCGTTAAGGAGTGTGCACGTACAGCATGTGCGCCTCGTGCACGAGCCTACTATTGAAGCTGCCGTTACGCTTTTGGCCTGAGGGGGCAACGCAAGCATAAAAATTCAAAACTCCGTAAAGTTCCTTTAACTTAAAGAAAATGTGTACTAAATGTTTTTATTCAGGTTAACTGATGGAGATGGCTCAGATGAAAATGAGATCTTGGATGCTTTGAGTTTTTAAACGCTGCTAACGCCTTTAACTCCAAACGAAGCCAGAGCTGAGTACACCAACAGGGATGGGACTTATATTTCCTGCTGTCAGCCTTCTCCTGGTGAAAGGTGCCGTAGCTGAAGTGTAGTCACAGCAAACACGTGCACCTCTCAGGATTCCCTCCGGCTAGCCCAGGGCTGAAGTCTCTGGCTCAGCGGCAGGAAAACGTTTGTTTATTTAAAACCTAAAACGTGATGCAGAACCTTGTTTTATGGGATGTTTCAGGTTGACCAGATGCTTTCATTCAGCCTTCCTTTACACAATGACCCATAAGAGAGTAAACCCCCATGCAGCAGTGGAATGTAGTCTGTGCTTATAAGAACAATGTAAATGATTGGTTTCCTCCTTGCAGCCAACATGTCGGATGCAGACCGGTTTCTCTACGTGGACCGTAACCTGGTCAACAACCCGCTGGCCCAGGCCGACTGGGCCACCAAGAAGCTGGTATGGGTCCCCTCGGAGCGCCTGGGCTTCGAGGCGGGCTCGGTGAAGGAGGAGCGCGGCGACGAGTGCGTGGTGGAGCTGGCAGACTCTGGTAAGAAGGTCAAGGTCAACAAGGATGACATCCAGAAGATGAATCCGCCCAAGTTCAGCAAAGTGGAGGACATGGCCGAGCTGACCTGCCTGAACGAGGCGTCGGTGCTGCACAACCTGAAGGAGAGATATTACTCTGGTCTCATCTACGTGAGTATGGCACCGAGCTGTTGCTCATTAAGTGTTCCTGTTGCCACATTTCCCTGCTGTCTCGTTGGTGTCCCAGGGCCGGGCTCGGGTCCGGTTCATCTCCTTAAGCCTGGTTGCTTCAGACGTCCTGTTGTGTTCTGACTGGAAGTGGAGAAAAATGTGCATTCTGTTAGCGTACTCGGGATGTTGGATTGTTCTGTCCTCGCCCCCTTTGACTACGCTCCAGCACTGCTGCTTTTTCTCCGTTTTGGATTAGATCTCATAAACAGGAAGCTTCAGGGAACAATGCCGTCCAGAGTGGGGGAGAACTGGTGGAGCGATGGGGAAACGAGGGGCACCGGTCCAGTATTTGCAGAAATGGGCATGGAATGTAAACCATGCCGTAACTGTCATTACTGCTGCTGTAATTGATGCTATTCACTCCCCCTTTCTGGCCTGGGAGTGATTTGGACTCTTTGACTCTTGAGTTGTGACCCGGTCATATCAACAGAAGTTGTTTTCCACTCCCTCGCTCTCCAGAGGTCCGCTCTGTGGCTCCAGGCTCTGAGCTCCTCTCGGCGCTGGAATGAGCTACCAGTGGCTTTTAATGGAAACGCGTAAAGATGTGTGGCCCGACCGGTCAGTTAACCAGGATCACTCATGGATTTAAACCCACAGCTGGGTGGGGATGGGTTATCCAAGGCAAGTGTAACAACACTTTCAGAGTAAAAGCGAAAAGGTTTTCAACTGGGAGCTGATGAAGGACGACTTGCTCATCACGGATGGGGTTAGGGCCTAATCTAACCAGGAGATTAGAGGATCCGTCCTGTTAAAGGGTCCTAGCCCAGACAGCAGCACATGGTTACCAAAATAAAAGCATTAAAAACCAAAACTTGAAAGCATTCACTCCTGGGTGTGTTAAAGAGAGACCCTCCTCAAGATTTAAGTCCTACAAAGTTTCCAGACTGCTGGAACCTCTTCAGCTTAAACCAGTTTCACACTGCAAGCATCGGCGGAGCGGAACGGCGGCGAAGCGGCACCGCTTCAAATAGAATCCAATTATAGTCTGTGGAGTGTTTCAAACCAGCCGCGACGCGTCCGTTTCCCAGAGGCGGCGTGCCGTGCCGCGCCGCTAAAGATGGAGTTCTGTTTTTTTCCGCGAGCCGCTTCTGGGACACGTCAATTTCCGCAGGTCACATAGTGCGAGACAGGAAACCACACGGTTTCAGTGTAAAATCCCCGGTTATTTTCAAAATAAAATGCAACGTTGCCATGTTCTATATAACTTACGTCAGCATGAGAGACCGAACGGCTTTGCTTACCACCAGTTTCTTTCGAGAAGTGCAGCGGTGCGATTCCTCGCGGGGGTTGTGATCTCTCGATAAGGAAGGTGTCGGAAGTCTCGAGGGATTTCAGAAACTCGCGGGTACGGCGAGGCGCAGCGAGGAAGCCGCGCCGCGGCCAACACTCCCGGTGTGAAAGGACCGCCTTGAAGTTGGCGAGTGAGCCGCTCCGCTGCCGTTCCGTTCCGCGGGTGCTTGCCGTGTGAAACCGGGGTTGGTACCAACTTTCAGGGCTGTTGGATGGTAGAGCTTCTGGGACCAGAGAGAGAGGGAGGAGTCTGGTGGAAAGCAAACCAATAATACAAGATAAAATCAACACGTTAAGGAGAAAAGTGTCGTCCTTGACTAAGTAGAACAACAAGAAATAAGAAATCTTGTTAAAACTGTGGAAGCAGAAGCAGCTGATGGGGAAGCCTCAGACATGGTGACTGTAAAAGCTGTAATCTGTCACCATCTACAGGAATCTTCCCTGATTTAATGAAGATTGCCGCGGTGGTTCCGTTATTTACAGGGTTCTGTTATTTACAGGGTTCTGTTATTTACAGGGTTCTGTTATTTACAGGGTTCTGTTATTTACAGGGTTGAGTTATTTACAGGGTTGAGTTATTTACAGGGTTGAGTTATTTACAGGGTTGAGTTATTTACAGGGTTGAGTTATTTACAGGGTTGCGTTATTTACAGGGTTGCGTTATTTACAGGGTTGCGTTATTTACAGGGTTGCGTTATTTACAGGGTTGCGTTATTTACAGGGTTGCGTTATTTACAGGGTTGCGTTATTTACAGGGTTGCGTTATTTACAGGGTTGCGTTATTTACAGGGTTGCGTTATTTACAGGGTTGCGTTATTTACAGGGTTGCGTTATTTACAGGGTTGCGTTATTTACAGGGTTGCGTTATTTACAGGGTTGCGTTATTTACAGGGTTGCGTTATTTACAGGGTTCCGTTATTTACAGGGTTCCGTTATTTACAGGGTTCCGTTATTTACAGGGTTCCGTTATTTACAGGGTTCTGTTATTTACAGGGTTCTGTTATTTACAGGGTTCTGTTATTTACAGGGTTCTGTTATTTACAGGGTTCTGTTATTTACAGGGTTCTGTTATTTACAGGGTTCCGTTATTTACAGGGTTCCGTTATTTACAGGGTTGAGTTATTTACAGGGTTGAGTTATTTACAGGGTTGAGTTATTTACAGGGTTCTGTTATTTACAGGGTTCTGTTATTTACAGGGTTCTGTTATTTACAGGGTTCCGTTATTTACAGGGTTCCGTTATTTACAGGGTTCCGTTATTTACAGGGTTCCGTTATTTACAGGGTTCCGTTATTTACAGGGTTCCGTTATTTACAGGGTTGAGTTATTTACAGGGTTGAGTTATTTACAGGGTTCCGTTATTTACAGGGTTGAGTTATTTACAGGGTTCTGTTATTTACAGGGTTCTGTTATTTACAGGGTTCTGTTATTTACAGGGTTCTGTTATTTACAGGGTTCCGTTATTTACAGGGTTCCGTTATTTACAGGGTTCCGTTATTTACAGGGTTCCGTTATTTACAGGGTTCCGTTATTTACAGGGTTCTGTTATTTACAGGGTTGAGTTATTTACAGGGTTGAGTTATTTACAGGGTTGAGTTATTTACAGGGTTCTGTTATTTACAGGGTTCTGTTTAGGGCTGCAACAACGAATCGATAAATTCGATGAAAATCGATTACTAAAAGCGTTGGCAACGAATTGCGTCATCGATTCGTTGTGTCGCACAACTCTTCCAAAAGCGCCCCCCCCCCTTCCCGCCCGCCGTTGCGCGCAGACCAGAGCAAGTCAGATCAGCGCGAGGGAGAGCCGGCAGATCAGCGCGAGGGAGAGCCGCAGATCAGCGCGAGGGAGAGCTGGTACCGGCAGATCAGCGCGAGGGAGAGCCGCAGATCAGCGCGAGGGAGAGCTGGTACCGGCAGATCAGCGCGAGGGAGAGCCGGCAGACTTGCGCTGCTGCGAACCGGTTCCGCATTGTCGCGCAGCGATCCAGGCAGCTGCTTCCAGCGCACGGTCCATTCTCAAAGTGGCGCAACCAAAAAACTATAATTAGCACACGATCGTTCATGTCCGCACATGTTCTCTATTTTCTGTCTTATTTGTGCCTGAAGCGCGCTACTGCGGAGCTCATCACCTGTGCTGTGGTGATGTCACCTCACGCAGCATCGAAAACGCGCTCTGCGCTTTTCGGTCAGGAGATCTTTGATCTGCTCAAAAGTAACTGATGAGGTGAAAAGGTAAGAATCCAGGCAACAGGTTTTCTGGAGAATTAAGAGGAGATGCAGGAAGATGAGAGACAGACAGGACAGGAAATAGTTCAATAAAAACAAGAAAACAAAACAAAGTGTTGAAAAGTCAAATGTAGGTAGATTTATCTCCACGACACGTTTTTACCAGTAAAAAACAATAAGTTATACACATGTCATATTTATACATCTGATACAATTCAGATCACCTTCAAAACTCAGTCACACACCCAGGGCCGTTTCAAGACATTTTGGGGCCAAGGCAAAATGCCCCCCCCCCCCCCCCCCCCCATAACTGGGCTCCCCAGAAGCCTCTGTGTAATTCATGCCCTCTCCAGGAGTATTAGTTATACAGTGTTTGTAAAAGCCCCTCAGACATTACTGACATGTTCTAATATGATCAGATGAAAAACTAAATTATCAGACATGCTGTCTCATCTGCTTATTTTATAAACTTGCAAAAAGTAACAAAACCATTTGAAAGCCACTATTTGTGGATTCTCTGAAAGTTTCCATGGAGTGTGTGACAACTTATTTTATCAATGATCCTATCGTCTAATCTCACAGCTGAAACAAGCATCCTTAATCATCTGTGCACAGGAAGCTTACCGATGCTGTAGTAAAACAAAAGGTATAATAATTTATTATTAATAAAACCTTGTTGCAGCACTAAAGCATAAAAATGAGATTTTGCATTAAATATGCAAAATATTTACATATGAATTGTTTTAGAGCCCTTTAATTGGCAGAATCTGATATTAATTTAGTTCTTACAAAAAATGGGTCCCAACATGGTTTGTGTGGTGTTGCCATAGTGTGACGTCATAGGCACAGATCCCCTGTCCTCTTGTTTGGAAATGGAAATATGATCACCCTACATTACACAAACTGTCCACCCGGGCTTTTGCGCTGCACAGAGACGCTTCGCTGCCTATGACTGAACGTCATTTGAGAGTCAGTCTCATGCAGACTGACCAATGAAGAGAGGGCCTCAAGTTAAGACCCTCTCCTCATTGGTCAGTCCACACGAGGTGGGTCAAAGGTTACTCTGGGCGGGTTACGTGTTGTCAGGCATTCAAGTATTGAGTATATTTACTGCATATTACAGTAAAATATTCTGTATGTGACCATATTATGGTGGCCCTTGGGTCGTGATGATGGGGCCCTTGAATTTTGTTGCCCAGGGTACAACAAAGTGTTAATCTGGCCCTGGTTCCGCCGTCACATTCCCGCAGAAACTGGTTGATCACACCGGGGCCAGACTACTAGCATGTGGTTTTACAACCACAATGTCCTCAGAAGCAAAAACGCTTTTAAAAGGGAGGGAGGAGTCCTAACTGTTGCTGCAGGCGTGTTGTGTGAGAGTGCAGTTATATACTGGTTAATATATTTTTGGGTTCAGTTGCTTTCATGTGGCCTAATGTGAGTCTATTTGGGATCATTGGAATGATCAGCAGCATTTCTTGATGTGACTTTATGGCAGTTGCCCAGGGCATCATCACAAGGAGGATGGCATTCATTTACTTTTGTTTTATTTGGTATTTTTTCAGTCAGTTTTGGAAATAGTGATCAATTTTGATTAATTCACAGCCTATGTTTAATTACATTTAAAATAAATGTCAACAGATGAGATCAAACAAAACAGATGAGAATTGCCCTTAAGCTGTTTAACTTGGACCAAGCATTTTAGGTCACAGATAGATGTAGCTTAGGGTCTCTGTCTATACACCTTATAAGACAATTTAGGTGATGGCATGTTGTTTTTCTGCTATTGAACTGTTTTCTAATAATGTTGTGTTAAATAAAGTGAAGGAAGGAGAGAAATAACGTTTCCCTAGCAGTTTTTAAAAATTTCCCCATGTAATCCGATTAATCGATTAATCGTGTCGAGACCCCATCCGATTAATCGATTATCCAAATAATCGTTTGTTGCAGCCCTAGTTCTGTTATTTACAGGGTTCTGTTATTTACAGGGTTCTGTTATTTACAGGGTTCTGTTATTTACAGGGTTCTGTTATTTACAGGGTTCTGTTATTTACAGGGTTCCGTTATTTACAGGGTTCCGTTATTTACAGGGTTCCGTTATTTACAGGGTTCCGTTATTTACAGGGTTCCGTTATTTACAGGGTTCTGTTATTTACAGGGTTCTGTTATTTACAGGGTTCCGTTATTTACAGGGTTCCGTTATTTACAGGGTTCTGTTATTTTACAGGGTTCTGTTATTTACAGGGTTCCGTTATTTACAGGGTTCCGTTATTTACAGGGTGTCTGCGGGTCCTTAAAAAGCCTTACATTTGGTTTTCCAAATTTAAGGCCTTAAAAATCCTTAAAAATGACAAATAATCCTTAAATACAGTTTCTAAAGGTCTTAAATGACCAAAGACCCAATAAACAAGATTATTTTATTTCTATAAAACTTTCATGAATTTCTAGTTGGTGTTCAGCATTTTTGTGTACGATGTTGCCGTAAGCGGAACCGTACACATTCAGTTGGTTGTGAAGGGGGGCTATTTTTAGATGAGCACATTAGCTGGTTAAGCTAGTGGGAGCTTGCGCCGTGGGGAAGTGCAAGTTTAATGGCAACAGGATGGCTAATCCCACGTTAGCCACGTGGTTAGCACCGGTTCCAGGCAATAGCTGGAGTTATAGCTTAAATTTAACTTAAAAAAATTGCTTAAATTTGGTTAAAGTGGCCTTTAAAAGGTCTCGTCTTGTCTTTGGCTCCCTTAAACCTGCAGATACCCCGTATGTAAGAGTGGTGATCAACAGTGTCAGTAACTATAGGCCAGAGTCACGGCTTCCACACCTAGAGATGTGGTTGTTGGTGTCATTTAAAAAGTGCTGACGGACCCTGAGTTGCGGTCTACAGTGTAAAGCGAGGTGGAACACACCTGAAGGGTTTAGTCTGTGCAGCTAAATGTGTTCAGCTTGGCCTCGGAGAGACGGCTCGTTCAGTTTGCACTTTAGAGCTGATCTAGTTGATGAACTACAGGCGCTGCTGATGGACTGGTTGATTTTACAGGTTTGGTTCTTTGTGTTATGAATTGGGTTTAATAACTTTTCCCACATCCAAAAAACACTCTCCCTTAAGCTCCACATGTTCCTGATGTTAGATCTACAAGAGGTTTTGTCTTTAATCACCTGCTGACATCATGCACCTGTCCTGCAGACCTACTCGGGCCTGTTCTGCGTCGTCATAAACCCGTACAAGAACCTGCCCATCTACTCCGAGGAGATCGTAGAAATGTACAAGGGAAAGAAAAGACACGAGATGCCTCCTCACATCTACGCCATCACAGACACGGCGTACAGAAGCATGATGCAAGGTGAGTGTGTTTACAGGTACAAACGCAGATCCCAGAGGTGACCTCCGTCTCAGTCGTTACCCGAGCAACCGTTTAGTGGAGACATCCTTACGTCCTTCAGGAATGATGAGCTGACGGCTAGCAATCCAGCAGTTTTATCGCCGCCTTTAAACACCAATTGAGACGCAGACCTTATGTTAGAGTCACTGCCATTTTCAATTCAAGTTTATTTGTAAAGCACCAAGTCACGACAAGTCGTCTCGAGGACCTTCACACCGTAAACATCCCAACACAGGTCAGGTCATTCAGCCAATCAGTAACAAGTTTCCTACATAAGGAACCCAGCAGGCTGCATCGAGTCACTGACTAGTGTCAGTCTTTACAGCAATCCTCATACTAAGCAAGCATGCAGCGACAGTGGAGAGGAAAACTCCCTTTTAACAGGAAGAAACCTCCAGAGAATCCTGGCTCAGTATAAGCAGCCATCCTCAACACACACACACACACACACACACACACACACACACACACACACACACACACACACACACACACACACACACACACACACTCACACACACACACCAAGTAGTGTTTCTATGGTTACATTGTGATTACTTAGTAAATATTCTATTAGGTGAGGGATAAACTTTATAGTATTTATCCTAGTGGATCTATAATTAAACGGGTAAACTAGCAGTAACACATCCAACGTCGAGGAAACAAAAAGTTATTATCAGGAGAGGGAGAATGTTTAAGTGGTTAGCAGCAGTGTGCTAGTCGATGGCCTCCTCCATGAGGCCACCACAGCTCAGCAGAACATCGTTGTAGCTTCTTCTGGGGAGAAAAACACTTAGAGAGAAAATAAAGTTAACAGCTGAAATAGCAGGAAATAAGACAGTTAAAGAGCAGATTGTAGAAGAAAGCAGTAGAGTGTGGAAAGTGGTCAGTGTGTCCTCCAGCAGTCTAAGCCTATAGCAGCATAACTACAGAGATAACACTGGATAATCTATCCTATTTAGATGCACCCATCCATCTCATGTTACATCTGACGTGTTGTAGGACACGGCTGCTGAACCTGACCCTTGTGTGAAAGTTTTAAATAATTCTTTGTGAGCTGTTGCGATAACTGTGATATCGGGGCAGTTTTTAGACCCGACCGTGGCGGCTGAGCCTTCGTCTCCGTAAAGCTGCAGGACGTAGCCTCTGCTCCACGTTCCAGCTGCGTTAGAACCGGGCTGTTTATAACTTCTACACACACACACACACACACACACACACACACGCGCGCACACACACACACACACACACACACACACACACTCTTCAGAATGATCCGACACTTTCATACGATCATTCTGACCCCTTATAATAATAATCTGAACCCAGATTGCAGACATTTGCGTTTTGAAATGTTGGAAGTCTGGGAAAAGGGAATCGGATTTTTGGAACAGGAGTGACTTGCACCCCAATGACCTGAACATTAGCTTTGAATCTGAGCAGGTTTCCTGTTCTTCTTCTTGAAGCCGACACAACTCTGTCTCTATTTAATTCATCAGAAGCTATTAAGAGCACACATCCTGCCTAAATGAGCTGCTGCAGATTTCCTGTTCCCTGTTTTCCGGCCGTTATCCGTACCACGGTGTGTAATTATGCTGCGCGTCCCGGACTGGAGTTTCCCGTGGAGCCGCTGCAGGGGTGTTCCTCTAATCCGCCTCCTGGGTGGATTCTGTTGGTTTAGCGTTAGCTCGCCGCCTCTGCGCTCCTCACCATGAACGCTTTAGTGCTGCACACCACCTTTCAGGATGTGATGGAGTAATTGGGCTCTTGGAGCTCTGGCGGGAGCTCTTTAGTCACAGGAAGCCAGATACTGACTTCCTGTCTGGGCTCTTGTGTATTTCCTGTTGTACAGGCGTGACCTGTGCGCGCCCTGCCAGTAACAAGCTCTCGCCTCGCTTCCACTGCTGCTGAATTGACCGTTTCCATGTGTTTCCTTCACAGATCGGGAAGACCAGTCGATTCTTTGCACGTGAGTTTCAAGCATGTTCTGGAGTGCTTTAGCCACCCGTGTCTTTGTGTGTGGGTCTGGCTGAACGTTTGTCTCGTACAGAGGCGAGTCCGGCGCCGGCAAAACGGAGAACACCAAGAAGGTCATCCAGTATCTGGCTCATGTGGCGTCCTCTCACAAGACCAAAAAGGATCAGGTCAGTCTTTCTGCTGGCGCTTAGCTGACCGTGAAGCCTCCTGAAGCACCAGCCTTTCCTTCTGTAGTGAGAACGTAGACCCTTAAAACTCCACCACAGAAAACAGGTCATTTAAAAGCTGTTCTACGACTGTCCCACCCGTTTAGTTTGGCTTTACTTGGCGGACGTTTAGAGGAGCTGCATGACGGTGTCAGAGCAGCGTCCATCACCCCGTTTTCAGCTTGTTGTTCTTTTTCCATCAACAGAGCAGTTTGGTCCTGTCACATGTGAGTTGACCCTCCCCCTTTCATTTGCTCCTCCTACTTTCTGCTTCTGTCGTCACCTTTCTGTTTCAGCCCCCCCCCCCCCCCTCGCTGAAGCGTCGACTCTTATGGAAGTCACCTTAAACTGGGGGGGGGGGGGTCTCACCAGGCATCAGGAAGGAGAGGGGAGGTTTCTGTGCAGCTCAGCAGCAGCTCCATGTGTTCCTGTGAAAAATTCAACCAGACGGGGGGGTGGGGGTGGTTGGGGGGTGGGGGGGGTGTAATGGGAGGAAAGCATCCAGCTGGTCTGGGGCGGTTTTTTCTGTCTGGTTGAATTTTTCCACGTCTCTCCTGCTGCTTTTTCTGTGCATCAGTCCACGAACGTGTGGTTCGTCTCGACGGACGTTTAGTAACAGACGTGTAAATGAACGTTTTCGTGCCCCAGAAGATGAGATATGGTTTCTATGTGTGTAAAACGGGTCTAAGGGCTCGGCGCCGGGTTCGGGTGACGGCTTGTTGGGTTTCCGGGTTCTGGTGCTGGCTCATCGGGGCACTAACATTGTGACGTTGGGGGTTGCTTTGGGTGCCGTGTGCATTGCTGTGGTGTCTCTGTGTTCTGAACCGTCTTCCTCCACAGGTGTGAATGAGGTGTTGGGTCAATCAGCAAACCGTCTCCTTGTTGCCTCCGGTTGCAAAATGCTTTTTCTCACTGAGCAGATTTAACACCTAATCTAAGCTGCAGGGATTTTACTGCTTTGAAGTGTTTCTGTGTGAAAGTTTTAGTTGGCCTTCCTGAAAAGCCTCACTTCAAAGAAATGCTAGCATTACCTCCAGGACTGATGAGCTAACAGCTAGTGTGAGCGCAGCTGCACCCGCTGAACTCCGACATCTAGGGTTTCATAGATGTTTGTGAACTGTTGCACCGTTGGCACTTCTACACTAGTTTCTGTAGTTTCCCCTCAGTGCTGAAAATAACCCTAGCGGCAGCAAAGGGGAGCATTCCTGGTGCCTCCAGCAGCAGCAGCAAAGGGGAGCATTCCTGGTGCCTCCAGCAGCAGCAGCAACGGGGAGCATTCCTGGTGCCTCCAGCAGCAGCAGCAACGGGGAGCATTCCTGGTGCCTCCAGCAGCAGCAGCAACGGGGAGCATTCCTGGTGCCTCCAGCAGCAGCGGCAGCAAAGGGGAGCATTCCTGGTGCCTCAAGCAGCGGCAGCAAAGGGGAGCATTCCTGGTGCCTCCAGCAGCAGCGGGGAGCATTCCTGGTGCCTCCAGCAGCAGCGGGGAGCATTCCTGGTGCCTCCAGCAGCAGCGGGGAGCATTTCTGGTGCCTCCAGCAGCGGCAGCAGCAAAGGGGAGCATTCCTGGTGCCTCCAGCAGCAGCGGCAGCAAAGGGGAGCATTCCTGGTGCCTCAAGCAGCGGCAGCAAAGGGGAGCATTCCTGGTGCCTCCAGCAGCAGCAGCAAAGGGGAGCATTCCTGGTGCCTCTAGCAGCGGCAGCAGCAAAGGGGAGCATTCCTGGTGCCTCTAGCAGCGGCAGCAGCAAAGGGGAGCATTCCTGGTGCCTCTAGCAGCGGCAGCAGCAAAGGGGAGCATTCCTGGTGCCTCCAGCAGCAGCAGCAGCAAAGGGGAGCATTCCTGGTGCCTCTAGCAGCGGCAGCAGCAAAGGAGAGCATTCCTGGTGCCTCCAGCAGCAGCAGCAGCAAAGGGGAGCATTCCTGGTGCCTCTAGCAGCGGCAGCAGCAAAGGGGAGCATTCCTGGTGCCTCCAGCAGTGGCAGCAGCAGAGGGGAGCATTCCTGGTGCCTCCAGCAGCAGCGGGGAGCATTCCTGGTGCCTCCAGCAGCAGCGGGGAGCATTTCTGGTGCCTCCAGCAGCGGCAGCAGCAAAGGGGAGCATTCCTGGTGCCTCCAGCAGCAGCGGGGAGCATTCCTGGTGCCTCCAAGGACTAAGTCTAGCAGGAAGAGCCACCTAAGATTTAGTCAGACTTGTGAAAAACCACAGAAGTTGTTGACACTGATTCATAAACTGATATGAAATTTTGAGGTTGGCTGTGTTAAGTTGTCAGCGCTGTCCTAGCCGTTAGCTCATCAGTCCTTTGTGTTTCTGAACAGAAGTTGCTCAGGTGATCGATTAAAGCAGGTAAGATAACGACTTACACAGAAATACTCCAGCTGCCCTAAGCTCCCTTTAACACCTGACTAGAGAAGGTGGGCCGTCCCTACATCAGGTCCTCGTCGGAGAGATCAGCTCTTTAATTCTGCTCTTCTCCACCAGGGGGAGCTGGAGAAGCAGCTGCTACAGGCGAACCCCATCCTGGAAGCCTTCGGAAACGCCAAGACGGTCAAAAACGACAACTCCTCTCGATTCGTATGACGCAGCCCTTCATCTGGTCTCTCATGGTGAGTTTATTTGATCCTGCTTGAATCGGTCTGCGTTCTTCTCCTTTCAGGGAAAGTTCATCAGAATCAACTTCGACGTCAACGGTTACATCGTCGGTGCCAACATCGAGACGTGTATCCTTTCCACCGTCTTTGCGCTGATGTTGGGATCCCATCAGGAGCGGGAGACTCGGTGCTCTTAACAGAACCTTTCCTTGACAGCGCCACGTCCAGACCTGTTGGAGAAATCCCGAGCGATTCGTCAGGCCAAAGACGAGCGAGCATTCCACATTTTCTACTACTTGCTCACGGGAGCGGGAGACAAACTGCGGAGTGAGTAGCACACTCGGAGTTCTCCGGGAATTCCTGATTGTTTCGTGTAAACGCCTCTCTCCTTTGCCTTTTCGTCACAGCTGATCTTCTCCTTGAAAATTACAACAACTACCGATTCCTCTCCAACGGGAATGTCACGATTCCGGGTCAGCAGGATAAGGATCTGTTCACAGAGACCATGGAAGCCATGAGGATCATGGGTATTCCCGAGGACGAGCAGATAGGTAAGGGAGCAGCTGCTGTGTTGGCGGTTTCTCGTGGGATGTGGCTGTAAACGTCTCCCGATCCGGTTGGTTTGTGCAGGAATGCTGAAGGTGGTGGCCTCGGTTCTGCAGCTCGGAAACATGAACTTCAAGAAGGAGCGCCACACGGATCAGGCTTCCATGCCTGACAACACGGGTACGTTTCACGCCTTCTGTCGCACCTCTCGCGTCTTCGACACGCTTTTTTACGCCTTCCTGTGTTTTTCCACCCACAGCTGCTCAGAAGGTGTGCCACCTGATGGGAATGAACGTCACGGACTTCACCCGGGCCATCCTGTCGCCCAGGATCAAAGTGGGCCGAGACTACGTGCAGAAGGCGCAGACGCAGGAGCAGGCCGAGTTCGCCGTGGAGGCGCTGGCCAAGGCCACGTACGAGAGGATGTTCCGCTGGCTCGTCATGAGGATTAACAAAGCCCTGGACAAGACCAAGAGGCAGGGAGCCTCGTTCATCGGCATCCTGGACATCGCTGGCTTTGAGATCTTTGAAGTAAGTCCAACATTTACGAGGTTTCCCGTCCGAGCCGAGCGGCCCGCGCCCACTGAGCTGCTCGTGTTTTCCTTCCTCTCCAGCTGAACTCCTTCGAGCAGCTGTGCATCAACTACACCAACGAGAAGCTGCAGCAGCTCTTCAACCACACCATGTTCATCCTGGAGCAGGAGGAGTACCAGCGGGAGGGCATCGAGTGGAGCTTCATCGACTTCGGCCTCGACCTGCAGCCCTGCATCGAGCTGATCGAGAAACCCGTGAGTCCCGCCTCCTCTCAGCCTCGCAGCGCGTCTACAGTTGTGTCTTTGTGTTGAAGCGGCGGCGACCTTCAGACCTTTAACGCGCTCGCACGCAGGTAAACGCTTGGTGAGCAGGTAAGGACCGGACAGCAGCGTGGGCTTATGAGACCCAACTTCATTCATGCAGCACTTTTCATCAACAGTGACCCCGCCAGGACCAGCAGAATAAAACCGGCTAAAAATGGCTGAAAGGCGTGCCGCGGGAACGCCGCAGTCAAAAAGTGGGTGGGAGCTTAGGCCCCGCCTCCTCTAATGTAAGTCGCTGCTGATCGAAGTGCATGGAGGGGTGTAGTGAGTAAGTCAGACGGATGGCTTGGAGCTCAGCCCTGCAGAGACGCTGGGAGCGCGATATTCCCACATCCCGGTGCCTTCAGGAGTCCGGCTGCAGATGCAGCAGAGGTCGAACCTTTTTCATTCACCTGACCGTTTCCATCGGTTACACACGGGTAGCAAGCATCTGATCTCAGGAGACTCCCGCTAGCACACACAACTTTCCTCATCTGACTTTTAAAATCCTGTAATTCCCATCCCTGGTGACCGATGGATCCGTTGTTGTCTTCCTTCAGAAGCAAGTTCTTCTGGTTTGTTTTGCTTCCTCTCGTTGTGTTCTGATGGCCGCCGAGCGTACGCTGCAGCGTTCCACCTCCTTAGGTGCATTTTGGCCCTTCTGTGTCCAGGCCAGTCCTCCTGGGATCCTCGCTCTGCTGGACGAGGAGTGCTGGTTCCCCAAGGCTACCGACAAGAGCTTCGTGGAGAAGGTGCTCCAGGAGCAGGGCACGCACCCCAAGTTCTTCAAGCCCAAGAAACTGAAGGATGAAGCCGATTTCTGCATCATTCATTATGCTGGGAAGGTGATTACACACACACACACACACACACACGGTAACCTCTCTCCTGATGAACACTCCGGGCGTGTCTCCTCAGGTGGACTACAAAGCGGACGAGTGGCTGATGAAGAACATGGACCCTCTGAACGACAACGTGGCGTCGCTGCTGAACCAGTCCACGGATAAGTTTGTGTCTGAGCTGTGGAAGGACGGTGAGTTCCTGCTGCTGCACCTGCTCTCACACGGGAACAGACCTTACTCACGGAGACCTCTCTTCTGCGTCTGGGCCTCTGTGTTTACCTTTTCTCTCATCCCACCGCCCGTCCGTCCCTCTCCTCCTCCGTTTCATCCCCTCTCGTCTGTTTTGTTGGTTCGGTGCCTCTCAGAGGTACAGAGCTGTCAGAGAGCTTACTTTTATGAGCGTTTTCCGTTTCTGCACTCAGATTCAGGTGAAAGGTTTCTTTTCTTTGGTGTAAACGTGTTTTCCCGCCTGAATGTCTAACCTTTCCGTGTACAAGTCAGCTGTGTGGACCTGAGGGGTTTCTTCTTCTCTCCCAGTGTTGTTTGGGGACTCCTGGTGTTGGTCTTGGGTACTGCATCCGTGCAGCAATGGGTATAAACTGCATGGGTTTGGTTTGGTCACCTCCGAACGTACACCTCCACCCTCGCTGAAGTCTACCCGCTTCCTGGCGTGCGCTCACGTTTAAGCCAGACGTCGTTTTCACCGGACAGACCGGCTCTAGGGGTCTGCTCCAGTCACTGCATCCAGATCTTTGTTTTTCCACATCTGGCTTGCTTCTACATCATCCTCTCCCTCCACATTGACTTGGTGTTTTTGTGGTGCTGCACTGGTCCTGGTTCTGTGTCTCGCCTGGTGTGTGTGTGTGTGTGTGTGTGTGTGTCGTCAGGAGGAGGTTCAGTGGTGTGCGTTTGCTTCGAGTCTGCCTGAATAAACCGGCTTTTATTCCCCGCCTCACGTGTGTCTCTGCCGTCCCCTCCTCCAGTCGACAGCATCGTGGGTCTGGATAAGGTGTCCGGCATGTCCGAGATGCCCGGGGCCTTCAGAACCCGGAAGGGCATGTTCCGCACCGTGGGCCAGCTGTACAAGGAGCAGCTGTCCAAGCTCATGGCCACGCTGAGGAACACCAACCCCAACTTTGTCCGCTGCATCATCCCCAACCACGAGAAAAAGGTACGGCAGGAGCTCGGGCTTGTCGGAGAGCCTTTCAGGAGTTCTGGAATGAAAAGGGCGTTTGTTAAAGAGCAAGTTCACCGAGAACCAGTTTTTTAATGGTTTTACGTCCGAAGAGCTTAAAAGGACACTAAGCAGCTTTTGCTCATCGTGAGCCGGGATGTGCTGAAATGACTTTTACAGGGTCGATGAAACTCTGACGGAGACGCTTCCAATAACCGTAATTAGGGTCGGCCATCGTTTGATTCTGAACGATTCCAACTCCTAGTTTCGATTCCGGTTCCTATCGATTCCGATTCTTTGAAGACATGACATGTTTTACACGAGTCAGCTAACCACAGGTCCTACTGGATGAAACAATCTTAACTTCAACATGAATTTTAACTCTCTGAACAACAACATCACCTTCATTCAGACACAAACGTGTTTTGGAGGAAAAAAGAAGACGACTTGCAGCACAACCAGTGTGTTTGTTTCTGACCACGACCAAAGTCTGGAAGCAGCCTCTGGGATGAGAGGCTAAATGTCTCCAACACATCCAGAAACGTCCAGCTGTTTCCAGCTAAAGCTCTCAGGATGATCATGTCCAGGATGACTGAGAACCACACCTCCATGCTGCAGCAGCGTTCAGTCACAACAGGAAGTGAAGCTTAACCGTAGCTGCTGTCAGTAACAAGCTAACAGGTTTAAACATTAAAACTCAACAGAAACAGTTCAGAAAGGAAATTATAATGTTATTTATTATTATTATTATTATTATTATTATTATTATTATTATAACATTATTATTATTATTATAACATTATTATTATTATTATAACAATTATTGTTATTATTATTATAACTGTTATTATTATTATTATTTTAACATTATTATTATTATTATAACATTATTATTATTATAACATTATTATTATTATTATAACATTATTATTATTATTATAACATTATTATTATTATAACATTATTATTATTTTAACATTATTATTGTTATTATTATTTTAACATTATTATTATTATTATTATTATTTTAACATTATTATTATTATTATTATTTTAACATTATTATTATTATTATAACAATTATTATTGTTATTATAAGAACAATTATTATTATTATTATTTATTGTGGCAGAAGCTGGTGTGATCAGCTCTGAAAAGCGTTGATCACAGTTTGCGGATCACGTTTGTTTTTCACGGAGATCGGTCGTGGATTCCTCTTCCGTCGGCGTTCTAGGAAAAGTTTGAACGATTCCGGGGAAAACTAACAGTTGGAACCGGTTCCAGTCGACGCTCGGTGCCCAACCCTGCCCGTGATTTAATGAACACGCCCTAAAAATGAAGTCCTTTTTAAACCAGGGATTCATGAACTGATGCTTTGTTAGCAAACGCTACTTTTCACCTTCCTGCTTCAGGTCACATGGGTTCAGACTAGTCTCTGGATTGGACGTGACGATCCAGACACAACCCTGTTCTCCTTCGTGCTCTCTTCTTTTTACAATTAAACCATAAATGTGGACGCTTTCTTTTTCCTTACGGTGGATTTAGTCAAACGTAGACGCTGGGAGCTGACGGGTGGTGTGTGTGTGTGTGTGTGTGTGGGGGGGGGGGGGTGGAGGCATGAATGAAGCAGGTGTGGGCGTGGAGATGTCTTCATTCGTCCACCCACAGCAGAACCGTGACGTCTTTGATGTTTTCAGGCCGGTAAACTGGACCCACAGCTGGTTCTGGACCAGCTCCGGTGTAACGGTGTGCTGGAAGGGATCCGCATCTGCAGACAGGGATTCCCGAATCGGATCGTCTTCCAGGAGTTCAGACAGAGGTGAGGCACGCTACCGCTGTCGGCGTCTGCGCTCCCAGGAGCCAAAGCTAAGACGGTCTTCCACCTGTTTGTGTCAGGTATGAGATCCTGACCCCAAACTCCATCCCCAAGGGCTTCATGGACGGGAAGCAGGCCTGCGTGCTGATGGTGAGCGTGCTCTCAGACCCCTGTAGGGTCCAGATCCTCTGCTGTGACGCGGTGAGCCAGCGGTTTGTCCTCTCGCCCATCAGATCAAAGCCCTGGAGCTGGATCCCAACCTGTACCGCATCGGCCAGAGCAAGGTGTTCTTCCGAGCAGGAGTCCTGGCTCACCTGGAGGAGGAGAGAGACATGAAGATCACGGACATCATCATCAGCTTCCAGGCCTGGTGCCGGGGCTACGTGGCCCGCAGGTAAGAGGTCCTCCTGTAGCTGCTGGCGGGAGGATGGCGGTGACGGCTGAGCTGGAGGTTGTCGTGCTTGCAGGGCTTTCGCCAAGCGACAGCAGCAGCTGACCGCGATGAAGGTGATCCAGAGGAACTGCGCCGCTTACCTCAAGCTCAGGAACTGGCAGTGGTGGCGACTCTTCACCAAGGTGAGCGTCGGTCTCCCTCCGTGGCTCCATCGCTACACTCGCTACACCTCTGGTCCGTTTCTCTCAGGTGAAGCCCCTCCTCCAAGTCAGCCGGCAGGAGGAGGAGATGCAGGCCAAGGACGAAGAGCTGTTCAAGGTGAAGGAGAGGCACCTGCTGGCGGAGCAGCAGCTCCAGGATGTGGAGGAGCAAAACAAACAGGTAAAGCCGATGTTCAGTGTGCTCGTCTCCTCGATGCGACGTGGCGCTGCCGCTCGTTAAAACCTCCCTCCCCGCTGCGCTTGCAGCTGAGCGCCGAGAAGATGGCCCTGCAGGAGCAGCTCCAGGCAGAAACGGAGCTCTGCGCCGAGGCCGAGGAGATGAGGGTCCGGCTCGCCGCTAAGAAGCAGGAGCTGGAGGAGATCCTCCACGACCTGGAGGCTCGCGTGGAGGAGGAGGAGGAGCGCGCCTCTCACCTGACAGCCGAGAAGAAAAAGATGCAGCAGAATATCGCGGTGAGGAAGCTTTTCCTGGACTAAAGCTTGTAAACATAACGTCTTGGTCTGACTTCCTGAATGCTCCTCGCAGGACCTGGAGCAGCAGCTGGATGAGGAGGAGGCAGCCAGGCAGAAGCTCCAGCTGGAGAAGGTCACTCTGGAGGCCAAGATGAAGAAGATCGAAGAGGACGTCATGGTTTTAGACGACCAGAACAGCAAACTGCTCAAGGTGAGGAGTGCAGGGCCGGTGAGGGTTACACGGACCGGACACGCGCGCTTCTCGTCCTCACTCTTCCGTTTCGCTCAAACAGGAAAAAAAACTGATGGAGGAGAGAATCTCCGAGTTCACCACCAACCTGGCAGAAGAGGAGGAGAAGTCCAAGAGTTTGCAGAAGCTGAAGACGAAACACGAGGCGATGATTACGGACCTGGAGGGTAAGAATAGTCCAGGACCAGAGCCACGCCCACCTCCCAGCACCGTTCTGTTAACGGGAGAAAGCCCACCGTGCCGACTCGGGCGACTCCAGCCACCGTTAAAATCCACGTCTTTTAACCGGTGGTTCGACGAGGTGAAAGGGTGAATCTGAGCTGGATTAAAACATCGATCCTTTAGAAGGTTAAAAGCGACTAGACGGCGTGTTGGCCTAGGCTGTGTCGTGTCATCAGCATCACCGCTGTCTTTAACCCTGGAACCAGGCAGGCTGGAAGGTATTCCCAGTGCTGTTTAGGATCAGGGTGTGTATCACACACGACACGGACCACAGGAAGCTGAAGATGCACGTGTCTCAGGGGATTACAAACACCATCATGGACCAGCTTGTTAGAGCTAGAGGCTAGAAGACCGTCTCTGATTGGCTAAAGGCCAGAAGGCCATCTCTGATTGGCTAAAGGCCAGAAGACCATCTCTGATTGGCTAAAGGCTAGAAGACCATCTCTGATTGGCTAAAGGCCAGAAGGCCATCTCTGATTGGCTAAAGGCCAGAAGGCCATCTCTGATTGGCTAAAGGCCAGAAGACCGTCTCTGATTGGCTAAAGGCCAGAAGACCGTCTCTGATTGGCTAAAGGCCAGAAGACCGTCTCTGATTGGCTAAAGGCCAGAAGACCGTCTCTGATTGGCTAAAGGCCAGAAGGCCATCTCTGATTGGCTAAAGGCCAGAAGGCCATCTCTGATTGGCTAAAGGCCAGAAGGCCATCTCTGATTGGCTAAAGGCCAGAAGGCCATCTCTGATTGGCTAAAGGCCAGAAGGCCATCTCTGATTGGCTAAAGGCCAGAAGGCCATCTCTGATTGGCTAAAGGCTAGAAGACCATCTCTTATTGGCTAAAGGCTAGAAGGCCATCTCTGATTGGCTAGAGGCTAGAAGACCATCTCTGATTGGCTGAAACGGGGATTAAAGTTCTCAGTCGGGACAACGGAAATCCGTCAGCTGGAATAATCAGAAAAAGGTTCCGTCAAGATCTCTCCTCGCGCTCGCTTGGGTTTAGTAGTCTCTCTCGCTCGCCCTCTCTCTCCTGTTGCTAATGGAAACGCGCTTCTCCACCGTTCTGCACCGCCCAAGCTGCAAAAACGCGCACACTCGTCGCTCGCTCCCGCGGTGCGCACAAACACAAACCAGGCGCTGGGATTCTCACAGAGCCAATAAAGCTCTGATGTCACAGTGAGCGTTAACGTGATGAGCGGAACCAGGACCCAAGTTCCCGGCGGGCCGACCCGAGGTCGGTTTGTGTTTTTGGGCCGGTGTTCAGTCACGACACTCCGCTGCTCACCTGCTGATGAGGATTCCTCCCGTCAGTGGAACAGGTGAGCTGCTGAACAAGACTGTAGTTACCCGCTATTATCATTTATAACTGATATTAAGTGAACGCTCTAAACCCACAAATGATGGAAGATGAGATTAAATGTTATTAATCATATCAAATATAAATAAGTAACAGATAACATGATGTGAATAATTATTATTATTGATTATATTTCATTTCTAAGGTCCGGATGTCTGAACATTCAGACTGGTGTAAAGAACACGACATCATTAATAACAGGTCATGATCTAAAGCTGCTCTGAGGTATAAAACTGCCCCTGACCCCTGACCTCTGACCCCCCCTAGAGTACTTTAATACTTATCGTTTTTACCTCAGAGAAATCTCAGCAGCCACACTTTTAAACACCGTAACCGGGTCATTCCCTTAAACCCGATCAGAACCCCAATAGTGCCCCCCCCCCCCCACTGGAGATGGAGACTGACCTTCCAAAACAGGTCAGAGGTCAACTCCAGGTATATGAGGTCCGTACGGGTCAAAGTGGACCTGACGGCAGACGCGTGCTGCTGGACGTGCGTCGTGAGGAGAGCGGGCGAGAACCATCGAGCTGCTTGTGAACGAGCCGCGGATCTTCTGGGAGCGGGGCATCCGCGGGTCCTTAAAAAGTCCTAAAGTCTTAAATTTACTTTTCCAAATTTAAGTCCTTAAATCCTTCAAAATGACAAATAATTCTTAAATCCGGTTCCAGAGGTCTTAAATGACCAAAGACCCAATAAACTAGATTATTTTATTTCTGTGACATTTTTGTGAATTTCTAGTTGGTGTTCAGCATTTTTTGTGTGCGATGTTGCCGTAAGCGGAACCGTTCACATTCAGTTGGTTGTGAAAGGGGACTGTTTTTGGATGAGCACAAGCTCCCACTAGCACATAAGCTAGCGGGAGCTTGCGCCATGGGGAAGTGCAGGTTTAATGGTAACTGGTTGGCTAATCCCACGTTCGCGACGTGGTTAGCACCGGTTCCAGGCGATGGCTGAAAATTATAGCAGCAATTAAATTTAAAAAAATAGCTTAAATTTGGTCAAAGTGGCCTTAAAAAAGGTCTTAAAGTCTTAAATTTGGCTCCCTTCACCCTGCAGATGCCCTGTGGGAGGTTTTTTATCCATAAGAGACAAAACTGGAGATTTGCGTTAGCATCCGCTCTAAGACCACAGACGTACAGGTGAAGCAAAGGGAAGAGCCCTGTTTAACACGGAGGAGGCTCGGTTCTGGTCTCGGGTGATGGGTCCACCAACAGGACCGAGGCCAGAACCACGTGGGTCAGTCTCCCACGAGTCCTGATCTGAGTCCAGCTTGGCTTGTTTGGTGTTGAAGGTCTTTCTTCGGACTCATCCGTGTGTCGATGTGTTCTCTCGCTGCCTTCAGACCGTCTGCGCAGGGAGGAGAAGCAGCGGCAAGAGCTGGAGAAGAACCGGCGCAAGCTGGACGGCGACTTCACAGAGCTCCACGATCAGATCTCCGAGCTGCAGGCTCAGATCGCTGAGCTCCGGGCGCAGCTGGCCAAGAAGGAGGAGGAGCTCCAGGCTGCTCTGGCCCGGTCCGTCTGAGCTGAAGATGATTTACGTTTGCTTCGTGTTTACTCATTCTCCTTGGCCTCTCCCTCTCTTAGAATCGAAGAGGAGGCTGCACAGAAGAACCTGGCCCAGAAGAAGATCCGGGAGCTGGAGGCTCAGATTTCTGAGCTGCAGGAGGACTTGGACTTGGAGAGGCAGGCCCGTGCCAAAGCGGAGAAACACCGCCGAGACCTGGGAGAGGAGCTGGAGGCCCTCAAGACGGAGCTGGAGGACACGCTGGACTCCACGGCCGCCCAGCACGAACTCAGGTAGGGTCGCTGGTCCAAAGCGAGCTCCGCTTCCTGCAGCTCCAGGCCACAACTCTCACCTGCTCTGCCCCTTGAAGGACCAAGCGTGAGACGGAGGTGGCGCAGCTTAAGAAGACCCTGGATGAGGAGGCCAGAGTCCACGAGCAGCAGCTGGTGGAGATGAGACAGAAGCACAGCCAGGCCTTCGACGAGCTGAACGAGCAGCTGGAGCAGGCTAAGAGGGTAACGTTTGTCCGGAGCAGAGCTCCTTCCACGCCCCATCCTCGCCAGACCTCACACTGACCGTGTCCTCCTGCAGAACAAAGTGGCGGTGGAGAAGGCCAAGCAGGCCCTGGAGTCTGAGAAGAACGAGCTGAGCATCGAGCTGCAGACGCTGATGCAGGGCAAAGGAGACTCGGAGCACCGCAGGAAGAAGGCTGAAGCTCTGGTCCAGGAGCTGCAGCTCAAGTTCTCGGAGAGCGAGCGCCAGAAGACGGAGCTGGCCGAGAAGCTGACTAAAGTGCAGGTAGGACGTCCAGAACCAGCGTTGACACGAGCCGACCTCGTGGACGCGGCTCCTAACCGGTCCTTCGTCCTCAGGCCGAGCTGGACAACGTCAACGCGGTGCTGACGGAGGTGGAGGGCAAGTCCATCAAGGCGGCGAAAGACTGCTCTACCGTGGAGTCCCAGCTTCAGGATGTTCAGGTACCACCGCGGTTCCTGTCAGAACCCGGTCCACAGGAGGCGTCTGTTGTCCCCCAGACGGATAGTTTGTGGTCCTCTCTCGTCAGGAACTTCTCCAAGAAGAGACGCGCCAGAAGCTGGGTCTCGGCACGCGCATGCGGCAGCTCGAGGAAGAGCAGAGCAACCTGAGAGAACAGCTGGAGGAGGAGGAGGAAGCCAAGAGGAACGTAGAGAAGCAGCTTCAGATGGCCCAGGCTCAGGTGAGACGCGTCGGTCCCGTCAGAAGGACCGCTCGGTGGTTCTGAACCTTCCGAGTCACCCGCTGGTTTGTGTGCAGCTCGCCGAGATGAAGAAGAAGATGGAGCAGGACGTCAGCTGTCTGGAGGCCGCTGAAGAAGGAAAGAAAAGACTCCAGAAGGACCAGGAGGCCACGGCCCAGCGGCTGGAGGAGAAGTGTGCTGCTTTCGACAAGATGGAGAAAACCAAGACTCGTCTGCAGCAGGAGCTGGACGACCTGCTGGTGGACCAAGACCACCTCCGACAGATCGTCTCCAACCTGGAAAAGAAGCAGAAGAAGTTCGACCAGGTAGGCACCACACCACTGGAGAAGCCTCCGTTTCGGGTTCGACGCCCGCGCCGATTAACCCTTTCTCCATCTCGCAGCTGCTGGCAGAAGAGAAGAACATCTCTGCTCGTTATGCAGAGGAACGCGACCGAGCTGAAGCCGAAGCTCGCGAGAAAGAGACCCGCGCTCTGGCTTTGACCCGGGAGCTGGACGCTCTGATGGAGGTCAAGGAAGAGCTGGACCGCAACAACAAAGTGCTGCGGGCCGAGATGGAGGACCTGGTCTCGTCCAAGGACGACGTCGGCAAAAACGTACGTTCAAAAGCAACGATGTCCCCGCTGTTGCTCCTGCGCCAGCTCCTAATCGATGCTTTTGCTGCCGAGCAGGTCCACGAGCTGGAGAAGGCCAAACGTGCCATGGAGCAGCAGCTGGAGGAGATGAAGACCCAGCTGGAGGAGCTGGAGGACGAGCTGCAGGCCACGGAGGACGCCAAGCTGCGTCTGGAGGTCAACATGCAGGCCATGAAGGCTCAGTACGAGCGGGACCTGGCCGGACGCGACGAGATGGGCGAGGAGAAGAAGCGAGCGTTGGTCAAACAGGTACCCTTCAGACTTCCACGTCAGCTTGGCGGTTTGAGTCGTCTCGGTGACGCTCGCGTGCTGCGGTTCCTGCAGGTGCGGGAGATGGAGATGGAGCTGGAGGATGAGAAGAAGCAGCGCGGCGCGGCTGTGGCCGCTCGTAAAAAGCTGGAGCTGGACCTGAAGGAGCTGGAGGCGGGCATCGACATGGCCAACAAGAACCGCGACGAGGCGCTGAGGCAGCTGAAGAAACTCCAGGTGAGCCTTCAAACCTCGAGCAGGTGTGCTTCTCAGAGCCGCCGTCTGACCGCTTCTCCTCCTCAGGCCCAGATGAAGGACCTGGTCCGGGAGCTGGACGACACCCGCATGTCCAGAGAGGAGATCCTGAGCCAGAGCAAGGAGACGGAGAAGAAGCTGAAGGCCATGGAGGCCGACATGATCCAGATGCAGGAGGTCCGTGTGCGTCTGCCGTTGCGGCGCGTGCCGTCGTCGACCCGCTCGCGTTTACGTTTTTGTTTCCTGTTGATGTTCAGGAGCTGGCGGCGGCAGAGCGGGTGAAGAGACAGGCCCAGCAGGAGCGAGACGAGCTCCAGGACGAAATCAACAACCAGTCCGGCAAGAGGTAGGATCTCCGCCGTCGCCCGTAGCGTCTCCGGACCGAAGTCTTGAGTCTGACTCTGTGCTCTCCGCCTCTCAGCGCTCTTGCTGGTGAGGAGAGGAGACGCCTGGAGGCTCGCATCGCTCAGCTGGAGGAGGAGCTGGAGGAGGAGACGTGCAACACCGAGCTGACCAACGACCGGCTGAAGAAGGCCCTGCTGCAGGTTTGTTGGCTCCCGCTGAAAGCAGGAAGTGTGTGGGATTAAACTCGACTCGCCTTTCCTCCTCTCCAAAGACGGACCAGATGAACGTGGAGCTGACTGCAGAGCGCAGCACCTCCCAGCGCCTGGAAGGGGCCCGGGCCCAGCTGGAGCGCCAGAACAAGGAGCTGAAGCTGAAGCTGCAGGAGCTGGAGGGGACCGTCAAGTCCAAGTACAAGGCCAACATGGCCGCTCTGGAGGCCAAGATCGCTCAGCTGGAGGAACAGCTGGATCTGGAGACCAGGTGAGAAGGCAGAAGCTGATCCTACGTGCTCCCGATAGCACCGCCGCCACGTTTGTGCTTCAGCGTCGCGGGTTTTCCTGCATCCGCCTACGTCGGGGACGTGTTCGGGATGGAACTGCACTCTGGCGAGAACGTCCAGGTCTCTAATCTCGGCTCGTGTGTTTCTAACTCAGGGAGAGGCAGACCGCCACCAAACTTGTGCGACGCACCGAGAAGAAGATGAAGGAGATCCTCCTGCAGGTGGACGATGAGCGGCGCAATGCCGAGCAGCACAAGGACCAGGTCGGACTCCACTTCCTGTTTGTGTGTCAGCTGTGTCCCGAAGCAGCTCCGGGAGAAGAGGCGCTTTCGATGCGAGCGTCTGACGTCACCTGGGCTCGTTTGTGTGTTTCAGGCCGACAAGTTGAATTCACGTATGAAGCAGCTGAAGCGTCAGCTGGAGGAGGCTGAGGAGGAGGCTCAGAGGGCCAACGCCAGCCGCAGGAAGCTTCAGAGGGACCTGGAGGACGCCACGGAGTCGGCAGACGCCATGAATCGGGAAGTCACCTCCCTCAAGAGCAAGCTCAGGTAGGAAGCGTGCCTCCAGAGACCCAAAAGGGTTCCGTACGCTGGTCGTACCGCCGAGGTCCGTGAGACCGTAAACCAGCTAAGTGTGGTTCCTGTTCCAGGCGTGGCGACCTGCCTTTCACCGTGCGCCGCACCGTTACCCGCAGCGGCACCGGCACGGCGGAGAGCGACGAGGAAGGCGAGCCCAAGAGCGAGACGCCTGAGCCTCAAGCTTAAAGGAACGGCGCCGCTCGACTCCACCGAGCTGCATCCAAGCCGGGCTGACTTACCGTCAGAACCCAGTAAAGGCTCGGTCCGCAGCGTCAGCCTATGCATCACGCACACACACACACGCGCACACACACACACACACACACACACGCACAGTTTTTGGGCCAAATGCTTCCTCTTTGCTTCTCTGGGACAAACACATGGAAATATTTTTATAAGGAGACGTTCAGCTGATCGTCCTGATGTAGGATTTATTTTTCTAGTTGAAAAGATAAAAGTGAAGAGGACCAAAGCCACGCGTCGCTCTGCAGCGGCGTGTCCTAGAGCGGCTGGAAGTGCTTCCTGCTGAAGGTTTCCACCGTGTGCCGAAGCGGTCTCTTAGCTCTGGTTCTGCTCGTGGGCTCAGGTCTCCTCCACCCAAACTAAAAGCCACACTCGGTGACGTGACTCGGTGACGTGACTCGGTGACGTGACTCGGTGACGTGACTCGGTGACGTGACTCGGTGACGTGGTTGGGAACTCTGCCAGCTGAAGGGGTGGAAGTTTTGCACTGACATGGAGACAAAGATGACGCCGCTGCATTTGTGTTAATCATGAAAACTAAAAGGCTTAGAAATTTTCTGGAAATACTTATTAGTTTAGTGTGTGTGTGTGTGTGTGTGTGTATACACACCATCTTCACACACACACACACACACACACACACACACAGCCTTGACCTTTGCAGGTTTTGTGTGTCCTGGCTGTGATTTATAATGTTCAGTGTTTATGTTCGGGTAAAAACGGTGGTAGCTCTCGATCTTCTCCTGTAGGTTGTGACTTCACACACACACACACACACACACACACACACACACAATTAACCAAAGTCTGGGTCAGAAGGTCATTCATGCCTGTAACTAAACCCAGTAGGGTTTGATGACCACATCTGTGTGTGTGTGTGTGTGTGTGTGTGTGTGTGTGTGTGTGTGTGGTCAGGTTCTCAACCCCCACAGGATGTGCCCAGGGTCACACTTCCGGGAAGTGAGCGGAGTGTGTTTGGAATAACGGCTCGGAGTGAAATCCCGTCACTTAAAGGCAGAACCAGAGAATGTGTGTAACGTCAGGCTGTCTGCTCTTCTGGAATGGAAATCATGTGAAGTGACATTATTACGAATAAAGATGCTTTCTGAACTGCGGTGTTCTCCGGTGTTTCTGTGTTCCACGCCGGCCTTTCTCTCGCGGTGACCGAGGCGGCGAGTCGAGTCCTCACCGATGATCCGTTTTCATCAGCAGCAGCTGTAAAGTTAAACCTGGCTCTGTGAACCCTAACCCATCACCTGAAGATCTGCTGCTGGGTCAAAGCCCAGAGCATCACGGCGGACGCGTCCCATCCCAGTCGCAGCACAACCAGAGCCAGGTCACAAAACTGGAATATCGTCACTAAGTGGACTTATTTCTGTAATCCCATTCAAAACCTCATTAGATCCAGTCTTTACACAGACTGATGTTTTAACTGTTTATTTCTTTAATGCTGATTTATAAATGACAACTTATGAAAATCTCAAATTCAGTCTTTTAGAATATTAAGTTCAGTACAAAAACAGCAAAGTGAGAAGTGTGAGACAGTGGCGTGTCCAGATCTTTTAAAATGGGGTGGCCCAGGTGAGGCACAACTTTGTGCATGGGTGGCACCACTGGTTATGCTTTTTATGTTTTACCCCCTAGCCTTTTGTGGACTATGAAAAGCATATTTAAAGGTAAATTAGTGTGGTGGCACCTGGGGTGGCCAATCAGATTCCAAGGGTGGCATGTGCCACCCCAGGCCACTCCCTGGACACGCCCCTGGTATGAGTGTGTACAACACTCGTGTTTAGTTGGGCTCCTTTGGCCATCAGTCTGTGGCACTGCTCAGGCGTCGCTCTGATGGTGGCCTTCAGCTCTTCTGGTGTGATGCATCTTCTTCTTCACAAGACCTCATACGCGGTTACGGTCAGGCCAGTGAACAACAGGACACCATGGTCCTTAAACTAGGTCCTGGTAGCTTTGTGCAGGTGCCAAGTCCTGTTGGAAAATGAAATCTGCATCTCCATAAAGTTGGTCAGCAGCAGGAAGTGCTCCAGAACTTCCTGCTGCATTGACCTCGGACCTCAGAAAACCCAACCAACCAACACCAGCAGATGACGTGGCCTGGAGTTTACCGTGCTGTGAAACTCGGACAACTGTCGAGATGAGTCACAAGCTAGAGATCTGGGCTGCGATTGCAGCTATGACACAAAGTGGATGTCATGGGAAGGGTGGTACCTGCGTGGCGTGGAATAGTTTAAACGTCATTATTCTGCTTTTTGGAGGAGTTGAGACCAACAGCATGGATGTAAATTTTTTTTTGGGGGGGGGACATGTCCCCCCCCCACACACACTTTTTCCAAAATCAAGTTTTGACCCCTGCACTTTTTACCATCCAAAAACAATATTACGCTATATTAAAATGACACTGGTTGAGCTCTAGGACCAAGCGGAAAACAACCGTGTTGAAGCCTGTTTCCCATTAGAGCATACTGTAAAGATACCCCCCCCCCCAAAAAAAAGTGAAAATTACGTCCATGACCAACAGAAATTTATTTCTGCCTGTCGGAAAACATTCGCCTTATCTGAATTTGGTGCCCTTGAGTCTTCAGAGGGAATGTGGACAGATGTGAAACCGTCTCCTACCCCTGCCCAGTTGGGTCTGTGACCCGGTGAAGGCCGTGGGACTGTCTAGGTCTAGGAGCATCCTCCACACCACCCTGACCTCCCTCCCGTCTTTGAAGGAGAGTGATGGAGCACATGGAGGAGGTTTCCCAGACCCTCCCCCTACCTCTCGGAGACTCGTCTGTCAACTGTCTGGTGCCTGCTGTTGGTGAGGTTGTTTTTTTTTTTGTCTGTCTGTTGTTGCATAGCAAAACTACCTCCTGACAACTGGAATGCCTTTTTCCTTCATCAGGCAGGTGCATAGACGGGCACCACGTAAAAGAAATGAACTCCGTATCTAGTAAATCCTCATTTTACAGAAATAACGGCCGCTAAACGCTTCCTGTAGCTTCTAATTGTCGGGATTCTGGTTGAAGGTGTTCAGAATCAGGTTTTTATTGCCCTGTGTGTGAGAATCACAACGTTAGGAAGTTGCTGCAGTACTTGGTGCCAGAAACGATAAATAAGCTATAATTAGAATTTAGAAATAAATGCAATGAAATAATAATACAGAGAGGCAATAATTAGTGTAGGTTCAGGATCAGTTCATGTGCAAACACAGGATCATGTTTATGTTTATTTACGCTTCTATCCAAAACGACTTACAATTTATAACAGAACAGGTAGAAAAGCAAAATACAACCTATGGCTTTAATAACTGTTCTAAAGATTTTTGTAGAGCATGTTTAACATGCGCAAAACACAATCCACAAGGAAACTTGAGACCTAAACGAGGCAAATTTCCAACACCTGAATATCCATTTCAAAACATCCATATGGATTTTATTGAATTTAACCAAAGTGAGGGAGATAAATATTGCCTTGTAAAAGTTGATGCTTTTACCAAATGGGTAGAGCAACATCCTGATGCTATTACAGTAGCCAAAGCATTATGTAAAGACATAATACCGAGCTGTGGCATTCCTGAAAAAATATACAGTGACAATGGAACAAATTTTGTAAATTAAGTAATGACAAGAATAGGTGAATGTTTCCAAATCAATCTAAAAAACCACTGCTCATACCATCCCGAGAGCGCTGGCCTCAGAGAGGCGGAACGGTACCATAAAAAATAGACTTAAGAAGTGTATGGAAGAAACAGGAAGACCATGGACTAAATGCTTAGACTTAGTAAAGTTATATTATAACATCACTAACTCTACAGGTCTTACACCATATGAGATGATGTTTGGAAGAGCTTACAGATTACCATATTTTAATAATATATGGGAAATTCCAGAAGAAGCTAAATTAGCTGATTACATGAGAAAAATGTGTGAAAAACAAAAAGACCAAAAGACTGATGAACCCTCCTCATCTGTGTCTCCACAGAAAATCTATTTAGTGGAACCAGGAGACTGGGTTCTGATTAAAAGCATCAGAAGGAAACATTGGCATTCTCCTAAGTGGGAAGGGCCATTTCAGGTTTTGCTGACCACTCCCGCTGCGTGTAAAATAGCAGAACGACCAACTTGGATTCATTTAAGTCATTGTAAACGTGTGGTGACAAACCAAACCGACGCTTAAAGATGCTGCTGATGCTACTTATCCTGTCTGTGAGAACAGCTGACTCATTCTACACCCCAGTGTCTTACTATTATGCTAATTCTGAAAAACAAACCCTGCTGCTATCCAACTTCTCAAACCCCTGTAGGGAAAAGGGCCAAGGGTACTCTCCTGATCCATATTTTTGTTATGTTGCAAGTCCGAGCAATCGGTCAAGGCTTAGAAACAGTGGTCAGAGACAAGGGTCATACAAGGGTCAAGAGGACAATAGTTCAGGACTTGCTGGTGAGGACAGAACTAGGCAAAGGGTCAAAAGACAGGCTGGCTTCTCTGGATCCACCCATGGGTCCACCCCTGGGCCCACCCCTAACTCCACCTCTGGCGGGAAAAGAAGGAATGGCATGGAGTGAGGGAAGTCCAACTGGACCCAGGAGCTCTCAGGAATGCTGAAAGAAGATCTACAATTTGCTACCAACATGAAGATTTATGACCTGTGCTCTCATTCCAGGAGTGCAGAATGTAACTTTTGTGCCCTCATGTGAATACTGCATGTAGTGAAAATGATACCAAATGTCTTATGTAGAGCTAAAAAAGTGTATTTGGTAAATGACCCCTTGACCTAAACTGTCAGGAGAGAATGACTTGTGACTCTTACATTGTTTAGAGCAGTCTCAGAAGTGATATAAAAGGATGCAGCTCAGATCGGGCTGGGAGAGTTCTTGGGGAGATTCTGAGAAGACAAGAGCTGGTGTAAACTGACTCTTATTTAATCATTTTGAACTAATTCCTCCGTGGGGGATAGCAGTTGTTTTTCACTTTACCCATTTTTGTATTTTGATTTTGTAATAAACCTTTTTTGAAAAAGAAACATAATCCTGATTCTTTCAGGTTTTCTCTAAAGCTTCACGTTTGGGGCCCTGGCCATAATTGCACAGAGGTAAGCATGTCGAAGATCGGTCTCTGAATTATCAGGACTTACTTTTCAGTTTATAACAGAATAATATAAAGAAACCTTAAGATAAGGGAAGTTTTAACTTCCCCCTCCTTGCGAGTAACGAGTTGTCTTAAGGGCGATAAAAACAAAATATTCGAGGTTATTTTGGCTCTGATTGCAGGTTGAAAAAGTCTCTAATCAGCTGGAAGGTTGGATTAATAAATAAATTGATAAACTTATGATAGCCTGATCAACTAGCATAAATCATTTTATAGTTACCAACCTCCCACATAAGCTGTTAGAGGCGCAATTAATTCCGGGTGACCCAAACAATTGCTGAGAGGCTTGGCTTGCCTCCAGACTTCTCTCTAGTATCTTAACCAAAAGGTAACGAGTTTAAAAGAAGTGTAGTACTCTGGGGCTGGCTATTCGTGCAAGTCATTTCACCTTTAAAATAAAAGACAAGATTCTAATTAGATGGTCCAATCCAGGATCTAGTACAATTATACTCGCCGACATCCCCCCGAACCCTGATGGATGCACCGTCTCATAAGTTCTAACGGAACTGGGTTTTAAAGGAACCGGTAAATGGGACGGGCACGCGACAGTTACAGTGGGACTCGTACAGATGCCAAGGTTATATTTAACCTGGCTGACATAACTGTGGGAGGCTACAAAGGGAACATCTGGGAGGGATAGGACTGGTACTTGGACAGCTCAGGACTCAAACGTCATGGGCCAAATTGAGGCGAGGCGTTTGCTACCACGGGCTCATGGGCTAGAGGACCCTATGGTTACACAGAGAGAGCTCAGAAATGGTCAAAAAGAATGTCCATGGTTCTTACCAGTCGCCAAATAATAATTCATCTAAACACAACAGTTTATCCCCCAGAACCCCCAACAAAACGATGGGCAGCCACCCACAACCCTCCATGCCATGCTTTCACTCTTTATGCGTGGCGTCCAAATGCTGTTGATCCCTTGCACTCGCTTTGGTCTGTGTCCAAATCTTACAACAACAACT